GACGCGCCGCCGCCGTTATAAATAACTCATGTTGCCGGGTGCTGCCGACCTCAGCCTGAGAAACTGCGCTCGGCCCCGTTTCGGGGGCTGTGGCTGAAAACTGCGAGTTTCTGTTTCCTTTGTGCGTGGGGCTGATGCTCAGCGAGACGGCAGCGAGGGGGGGGTCCCGAGGGGGAAAGAAGGGGACGGTGGAAGGGAAGGGAGGATGAGGAGCCCCCTGGCCCCCGCGCTGCCTCGCAGGGGGTCTCGCCAGCTTCCCTCCCCCTTTGCCTCGGGGGTGAGAAAGCAGCAGCCCAGACCCGCTCTCTCCTCCCCCCCCACTCCCCAGGGACCCCCGTCAACCGGATCCCCATCATGGCCAAGCAGGTGCTGGACCTGTACATGCTGTACACGCTGGTGACGGAGAAGGGCGGCCTGGTGGAGGTGATCAACAAGAAGCTGTGGCGGGAGATCACCAAGGGGCTGAACCTGCCCACCTCCATCACCAGCGCTGCCTGCACCCTGCGCACCCAGTGAGCGGCGGGGGCTCGGCACGGTGCGGTGGGCTGGGGAGGGGGGCAATTCCGGCGGAGTCGGTGCTGCCCGCGCTCCCTCTGCCCTGTGCGGGATGCTGGGGGGACCCTGGTCTGGGGATGGCGGAGAGGGAAGGGGTGGCACGGAGGGAGGGGGCGGCACACGGGCAGGGGGTGCCCGGCCGCCACATCACCATCCCCATCCCTTTCCGCCGGCAGGTACATGAAGTACCTGTACCCCTACGAATGTGAGAAGCGAGGGCTGAGCAACCCCAATGAGCTGCAGGCGGCGATCGAGAGCAACCGGCGGGAGGGCCGTCGGCAGGGCTTCGGCAGCTCCCTCTTCACCTACTCACCCGGCGGCACCCACGGCCTCCTCTCCTCCCCCAAGCTGCCGGTGCCGGCGCTGGGGCTGGCCCCCGCCACCAACGGCGGGTCCATCGCTCCCGTCCAGAAGATCAAGAAAGGTAATGGCCGCCACGGGGTCCAGGCCGCGGGCTAAGCCCCCTCCCAGCACTGGGGACGCAGCCCCAAAAGGGGCAGAGCTGGGCGCCGCAGGCTGGGGGTGTCACGCTGCCGTCCCCTCCCTGGGCTCTGGGCACCGGGGCTTGTTTCAGGGACCCTGACTCCAGTCACCCAGCTCTGGCCCTTGGAGGTGCCGGGCAGCCCCCAGCGCAGACGCGAGGTGTGGAGGGGCCCCGAGCCGTTGTGCCAGGGCCAGGGACACCCCGGGGTGGTGGCACCTGTCTGTCCCCGTCCCCTGCGTCCCTGACCACCTGCTCTGCCCCTGCAGAGGAGGACTCCCCCATCCCCATCTCCATGCCCAGCCGGCTCCCCGTCTCGCTGGCCGGCCCCCCCGTGGTGGCAGCCCCGGCGGGCGCG